CTGATCAGTCCACCGTAAAGCCAGGAGCGGACATGAACCTCATAGATCTGTGGTCCGCGGATCCAGTTCCCACCCAAGTACCCACCCTCAAACCTTTGTCTTCTTCGCCGGTCCCGTCCGGATTGTTAGAGGCTCCGGTCCCGTCCGGAGATCTTCCTCCTCCGATGTCCCTGTCAGGTTTCCTGGTCCCATCTCCTCTGCTGGTTTCAGCCAGTCCCCTGGATTCATCGGCCCCACTGGTGTCGTCCAGCTCCTCGGCTCTGCCTCCGCCGCTAGCTCCGTGCGGCTCATCAGCCTCGCCTCAGGCTTCCCCTCCACCAGCTCGGTATGGCGCCGAGTCCCCGGCTTCACTTCGGCCCTCCAGGCCCATGTCTCCACCTCGGGTTTGTTTGATGTTAAGAATTTATTGCTGCATTTTTTAGCTTATTATTATTTATTGAAAAAATTTTTTTTTGATGTTAGGAATTTGCTACTACGTTCTGTTTATTTGTGTTACTATTTTATATGAATATTGTTTAATGTATAACTGCAGCCTTGTTTGTATGTATTTATATTTTTACTAAATTGTTGCTGTCACGATTATGTTCAGTTTAGTTCAGTTCCTGTCATGTCTGTTATGAGCCCTCATTAGTTACCATGGTTTCTGATTAGTTAATCCTTGTCCAGCTGTTCCTGTTTAGTTCCCTCATTTACCACGTGTGTACATATAGTCCTGATTCTGTTCTATCCTTTGTCGGTTATTAGCTTATGTTATGTGTTGTACCAAATCAGTATTCTCAGTAAAGTCTGTTTGGAAGTATGCATCTTCGTTTGCTGTCCTCATTCCTCGACAACCCGTGACAGAATAACCGGAGTCCACCAAAGCTGCGGAGACTAAGCACACTGATCAGTCCACCGTAAAGCCAGGAGCGGACATGAACCTCATAGATCTGTGGTCCGCGGATCCAGTTCCCACCCAAGTACCCACCCTCAAACCTTTGTCTTCTTCGCCGGTCCCGTCCGGATTGTTAGAGGCTCCGGTCCCGTCCGGAGATCTTCCTCCTCCGATGTCCCTGTCAGGTTTCCTGGTCCCATCTCCTCTGCTGGTTTCAGCCAGTCCCCTGGATTCATCGGCCCCACTGGTGTCGTCCAGCTCCTCGGCTCTGCCTCCGCCGCTAGCTCCGTGCGGCTCATCAGCCTCGCCTCAGGCTTCCCCTCCACCAGCTCGGTATTGCGCCGAGTCCCAGGCTGCACTTCGGCCCTCCAGGCCCATGTCTCCACCTTGGCCTGTCAGCCCGCCGACTCCGCTCCGGCTCTGCATTCCTTCGTCTCCACCGAGGCCCGTCTGCCCTTGGACTCCTCTGGGCTCCCTCATACATCCAGACAAACCTCGGTCGGTCGTCGCTCAGCTTCCGCCACGAACTTCCGGGTCTCCGGCTGCGCCTCAACCCTCCACCCCTTCGGCTTCACCGGGCTCCTCCCTTCCTCTGGTTTCCCCGTCGTCCTCGCTCGCTCCATCGTCTCCCTGGTCAGCCGAATCCCCGGCTCCGCCTCAGTCACGCGAGCCAGCCGCTCCACCTTGGGCTTCCAGGCCTTCGATGTCGCCCTGGTCCGTCAGCCTCTCTGCTCCACCAGTTCCTCCACGTACCCTAGTTCCGCCTCCGTGGATCGGCTTCTGGGTGTCGCCCAGTCCTTCAGCCAAAGCTCCTCCCTGGTTCCTCGCACCGTCGGCTCCACCATGGTGTTGGTCTCCTCCGATTTATCCAGGTTCCTGTTCTTCATCAGCACCACGCCTTCCACCTAAGCCTCCGCCCTCTTTCCTCTTTTCTATTATCTACTGTTGTGGCGTGAGCTCACGCCTTCCGAGAGGGGGAGCTAATGTCACGATTATGTTCAGTTTAGTCGACAACCCGTGACAGTTACTGCTTTTATTATTTTTAGTAGTATATTTAGATGTTTATATGTTTAGTATATTTAGAAGATTGTTTGCACTGACACTTACAGAGAAGTATCAAAAATACCATGGTACCAACATTTCTTTTAATGTACCATGGTACTACCGGGTTTTGGACAGGGTACTGGTACCATCTTATGTCATCCTGTTATTTCTTTCTGTTTCAACTGGAATTCACCTGCAAAGATCTAACTTTGAGAACTTTGACAGTGTACAACCCCCCCCCATTCATCTTTGTACAAGCCCCGGTCAACAGGAACGTGCTCTACCAGCACCTTGTTATGGCATCTCAGATGAGGAAGAAGACTCTCATCACCGAGACATGTCCTGTATAAAGAGCATGAAATGGAGAAGACGATGTTTGTTACATATTGATGCCTATCAGCCCTGAAGATTGGAGCCATGTTTCATCCCCCCTGCGCTTCTCCGCTGCTTGCCAGACATGCCCCTTGCCTCTGCATAATCATATTAATTTATGCCCTGAATCAATTATGCATTCAGATTCTCCTGATAGCTTGTCACTTTTTATCCATTAGTCTTTGTGTTCCGGTTGTGGGATGGTAAATAAATAGAGAACACAACACGCCCCGCGTTGCTGGAGGTGTGGTGAGGCATCCGAGTGTATTTGTGGAGATTTAAGGGTTATTAAGCGAAAAGGGGGCAGTCTCTTTAATTTTTCTTATCTTGTTTGACACCTCGGCGGGTTTGTTAATGGCAGTGAAGGTGGGGCCGACAGGGTTGAAGGTGTCAGATCTGAGTCGTATTTAACAAAGAGAGAGGAAGTTCACCAGGACGCTTGCCATAAACGATCACGCCACAAAATGCAAATAGTTCCTCTGATGAGGCATGTTGCTGCTCTCTTGACAGTGTCAGAATAGCGCAATTACCTGGGAGAAGAGAGCTGGCACTGGAGGGAGGTACGAGCTGGAGGAGACAGATCACGGCATCTGGGCTCATGTTCACAAATTGTCTTATTGCCGAGAGTGTTGATGTGGAATGGGATATCCGCCTCCAGAACTGACCTTAAAGAAGATATGTAAGGATGATTCACAAGCACTGTCAGGAAGACCAGCTGTGACATGGACCTCTCATTGAGAGACTGCACAACTATTCTGTTTTATTTTGTCAGAGCGGGCAGACAGTACTATCACTGTGTGTTTGCTGCTAATGGTGAGCAGCTCTCTCGGGCTAAATGGGCACTTGCATGTTTGGTAGCACGGCAAACTGAATGCAGACTGCTGAGGGGACCAACTACACTTCTAATCCAGATGTTTCACATAGTCGACGGCAAATGTGGAGTGTGTTGTTTTTGCATTCATCATAGCCTCAGATATTTGCATTCCTTTGGACTGTTTTGTAATCTCCACATTTAACCAAACCAATTAATTAGCCCACCTCAAATTTAGCAAAAAAATATATATATATTGTCCTGCTGTCTAACATAGTCAAATCCCTAACCCTTTCAAACAAATTTCACTTTGATGTAGAAATAATGAAATAATATTTTCTTAGAGGTCTAAAAGATCATCTTACCCCAAGGATCTAATTTTATCTTTTTACTTAAAAATAAAAAATATAATTTTTCCTCCACAAACCAAAACATTGGTGTGCCCACAAATTAAGAAATGGACACAAAAATATTTTGATATGCAAAAAAACCTTATTGATAGTCATAGATCACTATTTTCCAGAGACACAAAATTAGACCAGTTAAAACTCAAAACTGTTCTGACGGACTAAATGTCACAAATGCTGATATTTCTGAGATTATTCAGCAAAAGTGTTGGGATGAGATTTTGTATTTTGTGCTATCTGTTTTTTTTTTTTCATTTATGTTGGTATGTGTATGTATAAATGTACACAAACACACACACACACACACACACACACACACTATTATACAACTTCTATAGGAATTCACAAAAAGTCTGCTGGTATGAGGAGGAAAGCAGAGAAGTGATGTAAAGCAAATGGCATTCCCTTTACGTAATAATAGAAAACCTATTGGGTTTCTACAGGGTTGGGGTTACACATCAATTAATGCCTAAATGCGGAGCAATCCGATCCATTTTCAAGCTGTGAGCTTCAGCAGTGTCTTATATTACGCAACGATGAGCTAGATATCTAACACCTTTCATTTCATTTTCTGCTTCTACAAAATGTTCAAATAAAAATAGCATTCCTCCAAAAGGCCATGCACAGAAATTCTCTGAGAAATCTGTATGCATACATTTTGGTGTGATTTAAAATACATAAACATTTAAAAATACAGTTTCTATTGCAGAAAGTTTTAAATGTTTGCTTGATTACACATCTGTAATTAACTAACTGTAAAAACTACATTATTTTAAATAGCTGTCCATTTTATTTGTCCAATATGGAAATAAATAATTAGAGGGTAGTGATGACATCTGATGCTAAAAAAAAAAGTTATGTTGATATAAAGGCGCTAATTAGACATACAGTCACAAACTGAAGTTTTGCTTGATATTTGAACACCTTTCAATACAAGAAAGAAAGACAAAAATTCAGTACCAAAGTGTTATTTTAAGGTATGCAGGTGTGTAATATTCCTGAGCATACTACATCTGGCATACTGGCTTTGACCTTTGACCCATATGTTCTTTGACCTATGACATACTAACCACAACTGCAAAAATAAATTACTCCGCTATTGTTGAAAATCCAATTTAACCACAAGGAACTTTCTTAATACATATACAGCAGTTACACTTTAAAAGAGCCATGCAAATCTGAGGAATCCTCTGCTCCCATGGCCTCATAGGATAGCAAAGTATCCACTAGCTGCATAGTTCAGAATCTCAGCATATGCATGGTTTTAAATGCTGAATATTTGGACATTCTACTCATTTGACATAGTTGCTTTTTGCATACTACATAATAGGGAAGTATGCTTATAGAGACAGAAAGAATGAAAGAGACTTTGAAGAGAGCAGATCAGGACCATGGACAGCAATCGGGCTGGTGGAGGCCTACATCTGAAAGAATGACTGCTTACACACATTTCTTCACTATGAATTGTCATAAAATAAAATGTGTGGCTGCTGAACGAACAAAGCATTCATTAATATGTACAAAAAGTAAAACAACTTCAGCTGACAGTGTAATAAAAAGTTTTTGCAAAACTTTTGCAAGTTGCCAGTCTGTTAATCAACTAGCAAAAATGATACTTCCACACACGCAAACGCATGAGAAGAAGTATCAGATGGGCATTTCATCAATCTAAAACTATTATGTATTATTTCATGCAGAAAAAAAAGAGTTTGAAAGTTTTTGACTTCATAGCAAAATCATCTGAAAACGCACCTCGCCCCGCTTTCTCTGACGGGCACGGGCAACGCTCTTTATCTGCGCGCGCGGCTCTCGCCGAACACGCTCTTGTACAAAATGACGCCTAATTAAGTTTAATGTTAATTAAGAGTTGAAAACATGCCTTTAACTTGAGGCTTGGTGTGCTAGTACACATATAGGAACAGCTTCACCAAAACCTGAGGGAAGTATTACATAAACGGATACGTTGTAAAGGTGCGCTGCACACAAACAGATAAAAAAAGGATATAGGTGGAACTCTATAAATCGCGACGCAAACATTCGCTTGCCTTTTGTCTGTCTCTTGTCACCGAATGGATTAATTCGAATCGTCTTTATGTTATTAGTTTATGGGCCATGAGATTAGATATGAATATGAAACAGTCAACCTGCACTGCGACAATATATTAAAGGCAATATAAAGGCGTTAATACGTAGACAGGGTAAGTTGTATGAAAGTTGTATCTCGATTTGATGCTTACAGATTTTTAACAAGTTAGTGATAAATACTGGTTGTTTAATGATTATAGTTAAAATCTATTCAGTCTATTTTTTCCATTAAGATATTGTTTAGCAATGTTGTTGTATCATTGTGCATAACTTGGATGTTCTAAAACATACGGTTCTTTCTAAAATTGTTTCATTTCAGATACACTGACAGTTCACAGCCAACGGGTAAGCTTTATCTGAAACACCGACACTTAACAGTTAAGATAATGTTTGAAATACTTAAAATGTTTTTGTCCATGTAATAATAGTGAAAAATCTAAACAATATATCAACTTTTTTTATATTCTTGACTCAAAAATTGCAGCATTTGTAGTGAAAATGTGTGTATTTGTCCTTCAGAAAAAAAAAGACAACACAGTCGTTTAGACATGTGCTTTTCTATTTTGATTCCTTGACGAAATCAGCCGACGATCTGTTAAACTTGAATTTGATTACTTGAAGAATTCATTTAATGATCTGTTGAAATTTACATGTCAGATTCCGGGGGCAGATCTTGCTGAAAGAGGGAGCTCCTGCGCAAAATTACGCCTTCCCTTCTCGTTTGTTAGCCGTTTTCATCTAAAAAGTTACCTATTTATAGCCAAGTATACACAACAAGCCGAAGGCATCGTAAACTGCGCCGTGCCGTTTGATCCTGAACAGTGATCGACACCTGCCTGCACTGACTGCACACTATAAGAGAGAAAAGACGCCGGGCGCACCAGCCAATTATCCGCCAGCAGAAGTGACACCCAGTGACCATGTGAGTACCGACATAATTGCATTTATAGATTGCGATGATACCGAGCGTCATATGTTACTTTTATCTTTATGTGTAACTTCACTTAATTATATTTGCATATCAATGGCAGGTTAACCAGCCACCCCTCATCGCGCGCGTCTGCACAGCTCTCCACACTGATAAAGCGCGCGAATCCGGCTGCATGAGGACAGCTATGGATGTGATTATTAGATTAACTCTCAGTGCTTAGTTACTGATACACTCTTGTTTTATCAAAATAATCAAATCA